TATTTTTCATTTAAGTTGTTTGTCACGACTGTTTTTTTTTTGTTTTTAATTTGACAATTTACTTAGACTACACTCACTCCTGACACCATGTTGTATATGCGTTGTGTGAGTCAAACAAGGTGTTGATTTGTCTTGAGAGTGTTTACGATTAAGATGTTGAGAAGTTCATATTTGCTCTAAGACTAAAACAATAAAATGGCTTATAACTAGTTATCTACATAGATAAATACTGTCAGTGATGATACAATTTAGATCAATACATACATATGTAACACACATAAAACGAAAGAGGGAAGAGTAAAAGACTTATAAAACCCGTACTCCCACTCTCATTCCTCTTGATGGTTCAAACGAACTACACACGTTTTGACTTTGGACAATCCGGCTTCATGCTGTTACATTCGGTCTAGCGCGTTGTTTAGTTGATTTATATTGCGACCCAAATTCTTGAAAAAGATGTCGAATAGGAAAAAAGTAATTGGAAATGCTAAGGAATATAGGCTAAGAATGTTCATTAAATTTAATGAACTACATTTTCGAAATTGTAAGCAGGAAGTAGAAACTGAAGTGGATCTGTGGATCACTATGTGGATAGCAAAGATCCCACTTTATAGGTATTTTAAAGGATTGCGGATTTTCGGAGGCTGACATACATATATGCAGGAGATTATTAATTTAGGTCAAGGCTTGGACCTATGTAGCACTATGGGCCAAACTTTATCGCCTGAGTAACTTCGAGTTGTAACGGAGAAGATCCTCCCAAGTAGTATCATGGACGTGGTACAACTCTTCCCGTGAACTTTATAATTTTCGATAAGAAAGCGATGGTTGCCGATGATGTTATACCAGAATTCAAGTGACTTTTTCTTTACATAGGCGATAAAAAATGTTTGCAGGGTGTAAACAAATGAACCCACTTATGTATAGGGAGAAAACAATCCCCTTGTACGTATGTGATGTTACTTTATTTACATATACAACTCGGGGTCGTCGAGTGTCAAAACGATATGTAATTACATATGTATTTTTTGAAATAAACTCATTGTTGTAAGAAAACATTTGAATTGAATATCTAAGAAAAGGATGAAAAGGCAAAAGTGTATATTCGTTTATAGGTGTTAAATGAAAAAATTATGTTGATTTAAGAAACAATAATAGTGCTGTTTTGTTTATAGGTTATGCCATACGAAAAATACATATGTAGCACTATGGGCCAAAGATCTCATTTTTTGGTCATAAAAAGTAAAAATTTAATAGAGAGAACTGAAAACGGCGTACACATTTCTTAAAATTTGAATTAATTAAATTATTTTTTACACGTTTTGTAGAGCTAGGGTCACTGATTAAAAAGAAATCGAAATCAGATTTTTAAAACCAATTAAAATTAATCCAAAATGGTGCATCAAATGTAAGAAATATCAAAATATTTCATTTCTTGGCATTATTTAAGGGGACCCCCATTCTCGGAGTCAAAATCCTTGTTTGATTTAATTCGAATCTATAATAACTCAAGAATGTTCCTACACAATTTCAAGTGAAAATCTCAAGAAATTTATTGTGTCAGCATCAAGTGGCGGCTGAGGACTTCTCATACTTTAAACGCGTAAACGGCACAATAACTCAAAAACTAATAACCCAAACGATTCCAAATTTTTACACGTCCCTCTGTGAGTGTATAGATATCGTATGAACTAGGATAAAGCCAATCGGTGAAGATCTTCCTTATTTATTAACTTGGTTTTTGGTCGAAAATGTGAGATTTTCCAAAAATATTTTTCAAAGGTCCACCATTTTGTTAATTTTAAAGCGAAGTCAATAATTCTAGTTCATACGAGAGCCAAACATGAACTCTTTCTAACACCATTGGAATTTTCGGATTCCGATGTTCCAGTGAGGAGTAATCATGCCCGCCATCAAAAATAAGGACCTTTCTTTAATTACAAAAAAAGAACAAAACAACAATAAAATTTTTTTGTAAATTATTTTTCTTTCTTTTTAAATCTTCAAATACATATGTCCAAAGTTACAAACCTTAACAAGCATTGGTATTGATTTACCAGCCCTTTGAAAATCTTGAAAAATAAAAATCGACAATGGGGGGGTTCCCTTAAAATCAAAATAGCATGGAATCATATTAGTTTAGGATTGGTTCTTAAGAATGAATATTACACAATAAAATCAGAATTAAAATTACGGCCAAACACTAAGATTGGTTTCGATGTCTTAAACACACCACGAAAAATATACTGGCTTTCATCATTAAAGCCTTACGAGATCCTATCAATTCTGTAGACCAGTTCTCAACTCTTGAGTTTTTTTTATTATGTTATATGGTATATTTGAAGCTTTATTTTGAATATGAATGTTATATTCCGAACGTAGAATAACAAAAATTATTATTTGATACTCTGTTTTTGCAAAATAGTCGGGCTGAATCCCCAAAAATGTTTTTATAAAAAAAAACAAATATTTATTAGCGGTGTATGGCATTGTCCGCCGAGGAGTAAACCAGGGAAGACTATAGTTTCGGACCTCGCCATTGATCCTCATCAGTTCCCTTAGTTTTTTTGTTGGGATATTCTCCCCAGAAGCTATTTATAGCGTTCTTATAAAAACCCTTTATTGTTTAGAGTAAAATTCAGGAAATATGTTACATGACTACTAGATTTGATTCCTATTTTTGTCTATGTAAAAATAATAACTTTAATACTATAACCGTCGTAAAAAAACAATTCTGTTAGAGAAACAGGAAATTGAAGTAGGGAAAGATGCACTTTAATATACCTTGATATTAGTGTGCAAATTATAAGGATCTTCCTTTCCATTCCGACCAAAAAATATATTGAAAGTGATATATATATATATATATATATATATGCAAACGGACGTAACTACAATTTTATTTAATTTACAGGAGAAGCAAAAAAAAAACTTTATAAAATCTATAAAAATTAAGATGATAAGTTTTGTTGAAATTGGTTCAAATTTAAATATAACTCTCATATAAATTTTCGTTCGATTTTATGTAATCGTACACCAACTATTAGGATTGAGATTAAATTTTGAACAACGCATTGTGTTCCAGGATACCGAAAGTCTTGTGTCAAGTTTTATTCAAATTGGTCCAGATATATTCGTATAACTCTCATACAGACTTTTGTTCGATTTCATACAAATAGTATACCAAAGAACCTAAGTCAGCTTGAATGATATGAATATTTGCATAGGTTGCGAATGGATTGTTAGAAATCGGTAAATAAATCAGTCTTGATCACGTATTACATTTCTAGCTTCCTACAAAAATGTTATATATGTATGTTCAATTGACAGCATAAAAAATGGCGATCTTAAGAGTGTTTATTGCGATTTAAGGCATTAGATAGCCGCACCCATCCGACTCCTGTAATATGGGCCAATTATTGAAATTGGTTCAAATTTAAATATAACTCTCATATAAATTTTCGTTCGATTTTATGTAATCGTACACCAACTATTAGGATTGAGATTAAATTTTGAACAACGCATTGTGTTCCAGGATACCGAAAGTCTTGTGTCAAGTTTTATTCAAATTGGTCCAGATATATTCGTATAACTCTCATACAGACTTTTGTTCGATTTCATACAAATAGTATACCAAAGATCCTAAGTCAGCTTGAATGATATGAATATTTGCATAGGTTGCGAATGGATTGTTAGAAATCGGTAAATAAATCAGTCTTGATCACGTATTACATTTCTAGCTTCCTACAAAAATGTTATATATGTATGTTCAATTGACAGCATAAAAAATGGCGATCTTAAGAGTGTTTATTGCGATTTAAGGCATTAGATAGCCGCACCCATCCGACTCCTGTAATATGGGCCAATTATGATATTTTTTGTAAAATTACATTTGGTTCAAATGCGTGGCAGAACTTCTCAAAACACTGATGTTTAGGGCTACTATAAAAATTAGACTAATAATATTGATAATTTTTAGCAGGGAGATTTTTCACCCAGTGAGAAACAACAATACCAAATTAAAGCCGATTTGTTAAAAATAATGAAGAAAAGCCTTAAAATATCGAATATTGAGGTACCACTATATGGTACTACCGTAAAAAATGTACCGATAAATCATTATTAATAGAATACATCCCAGAAGTAACATCAATATTTTACAGAAGTGTAGTTAAGCCATTTTTCATTAATAAAACCATTAAGGAAGGCAGTAAAGTCGGACGAGGCCGACTATATGATACCCTTTACCACTTTGGGTATATTTAAGAGATGCATTCTAGAAGGACAGACGTCTATACCAATTTTTACAAAACACCACATTTTAGGCTCAATTTAATACATTGTACACTATTTACATAATATTGGTCGAAGAACCGATTTCAATAAAATTTGGCACACGTTAAGCTATCCTAACTTTAGTACGCAGTGCAAATTTTGGATCAATCGGCTTAAATTTGACTCTTTGGTGCAGCATATGCTAAAAATCGGACGAAAATATATATGGGAGCTATATCTAAATCTGAATCGATTTTTGATAAATGATCTGTGCCGATTTTCATCTCATTCGGATAATAAATGCGACCTATGCTTTGTTTACAATTTGACAGAGACAGACAGAAGGGCATGCATATATCGACTCAGAAAGTGAACCATGGTTCTATCTCGTTTCCTTTTGTCTGTTACACACATATGCACAAAGCCATAATGCCCTGTACTACAGTGTGCTAAAGGGTATAAACATGCCATTGCAGTTACATTTGATTAAACGAACAATAATAAAACAAAAAGGATATATATATATGGACAACGAAAATTAATTTTAATTTTAACGTATATTATCTTATTTTAATACCTGAACCTGTCAGTGCCTTTCGGATGTGTCACAAAATGTAAGTACAATGGACACTAATTTATATAGACATATAAATTTATATATATATATATATATATATATTCGAAAAATATTTGAATCTATTTTTTTTATTTGATTATTTTTTTAGGTAAAATGTACGTACGACATCCAGATTCGTACTTGCCACCGCTAAACAACCTTAGTGAAACTGATGGAGAAACTAATTCACCGTGCTACAATTTAAAATGTGAAGTTGATATTGAGAACGAAAAGCGGAAACTAAGTGGTAAGTTCTAAATAAAATATACATACAAGTCAAAATGTTTTTTGATCAATTTTTGTATGAAATCCCAAAAACCAGTAACGCTGACTACAACGAAACACAGGGATCACAGTATTCCGTGGTCCATCGTTTTATAAATACAGTCGAAATCGTTTTTTAACGACAGCGTTTATAACGACACATTTCGTAGTTATACGAAATCCAAAAGTCCCGTATTTCTGCCGTTTTACCCCTCACAAAAGAATATCGGCATATTGGTTGTAAAGACCTGTTTTTGCAAAATATTCGAATTTTCCTATACATTTTAAGGCTGAAACCAACGAAAATATTTCTTATAAAATATCGAACACACAGCAGGTAGTAGTGTTATGTTTTATTACTTCGTTCTAAGTTTTTCATTTATATGAAATATATTTTCTATTCCAAATCCCAGCTGATTTGATTCCAACGTAATACTAGTGTCAATATAAATTTGACAAATTATGTTTTTAAAAATTACCCAACAGGAAAATTGGGAACGCATACAATTTGAAATTGTTCTTTATTAAATGTGCTCCAGTATTCAATTTACTCAATCTGCCTGCTGGGAAAGTTTGAGGAAGCAAATCTTTCTTCATGGAATAACACGCAATTCCCAGCATTTTTTATATGTGTTACACATATAAGTGGCAATGCCTTTTTTGAGGATTAGAACATATTTCATTTTCAAAATAAATAAAAATTGTTGAAAATTTCTTTGTTTGTTTACATTTTTCTGTCAAATGATGTTGACACTAGCAAAACTTACAACAACAAATTTCCATGTGGTTGTTGTATCGTTTGTTGCACAACAACACTTGCTGTTACCTTCTATTATTATACCATGATGACACGTAGAAGTTCAAAATTAAATATATTTTATTATTTATGTATCAAAACCACAAAATATATGTCTAAACATTAACGACTGTCGCCTATAATGTCCCTTGACTGACGTTATAAGCAATTTCGACTGTTATAAAAAATCAGATGTTAAATTATGTTATTAAAATTTAATTTTCGATTTATAAAATACCAATATATTTATGTTGAGTGTTTGTTGTTTTTTCGACCTTTTTGTTGATATTCAAGTAATGAGATTATTTGAGCTTGAGGTCTTTTTAATTATTTTATTTATTCAAAGATTTCCCGATATTTCGCAGTTATCAAATTGCATCTTCAGCTAATGTAGTTGTACTACAATTTTCTATAGTTCATATTGCACTCAGTGCAATACCAACTGGGCAAGACAACGGCAAATGACTTCCATATAACGGTAGCGCAATATGAAGTCAGCTTTTTGTAAGATAGAACTTTGAAATTTGCACATACATTTCTAGTACTCATACGATATTTGGTATTGAAAATTGACCTAAGTATTCAAATAGCCCATATATATTTTAATTAATATTCGATATTTGGCTGTATTTCTATATCGTTGCCATAAATTCAAACGTATGTAACTACACTTTTACTAATTTGACAGGAGAAGCAAAAAACGTTGTAAAATCTATAAAAATGGAATATGGTTGGAAATTTTTTCAAAGTTTATTATTATTATTATTTTTTGGTTTTTAAAGGTTTTATGTCAATTACGTTTTTTAACATGATATTTTCTGAAACAAAAAGTCGTATCTACAATACAATTATAGCACAACAAAATGTCTGATAATTATGCGTAAACGGTGCATTAATGCCGCTATATTTCTTTTGATTTGCAAGAAGTTTGGCATAGCGTACTGAATTGAGTCCAGAATGATGCGTACTAAGTTTCGTGAAAATCGGTTCAGATTTCGATATAGCTCCTAATACATTTTCAACGATTTTTTGTAAATGCTTTCTGCCATTTGTATCTAAATATTGGACTAATTCTTATCAACGCACCCAATTGAGCCTATAATGATGCTTTGTACACAGAGAATCAGATTTAACTATAGCTATTATGTATATTGAGCACCAAATTAGCAACGTTTGCCCGATTGAAATGAAATTTTCAACAACGTGCTGTGCTCAAGAATACCAAGTTTCATTCAAATTTGTCTAGATTTATTCGTGTAACTCTCATATATATTTTTCTTCGATTTCACACAAATAGTACACATAAGATCCAAAGCCTGTTTCAATTGAATGGATTTTAAGAGATCGATTCATATAACTATATTAATCACATATTACATTTCAAGCTTCCAGCAGGGTATTAAAATTGCATTTGTTATGCTTGGTTTAAATCGGTACATATAACGGTCTTAAGAGCCTTTATTGTATGTACCCAATATGCAACATGGGCCAATAATGATCATTGTACTCAATGATTATCCAAAGTGTAAAATTACAGCCCAATTGGTTAAAATAAGTGGCATTATTTATCAAAATATAGATCTTTGGGATGTACCGTTAAAGTGGGGCAACCCTAAAATTTGTACTAATATTGATAATTTTTGCAGGAAGATTTTCCACCCAGTGGGAAACAAAACTACCTAACTTTATCTGATTAGTTAAAAAAGAAGAAAGCCATAAAATACGGACTTTTGGGGGCTACCATAAAAAATTGGCAGATATATCTCATTTCCAGTACCAAACATCCAAGAAGTAACTTTAATATAAGTTTAGAATTTCTATCTTCAATATTGCGTTTGCATTTATGAAGACGAAATGCTGATCAGAGCATAATAACAACGCAAGCAGTGATGTTGGTAGAGGGTCAAACAGTGTTGTTGTTGCTAGCGACAAATAAGAAATCTTTCAGTTAAATCGAAAAATAAATAAATTTAACAACTGTAAGCAATATTATTGGTGACCAACAAAAAATATTACAGGTTTTGCTTTATGCAGTAAAGCAAAATGAGAAAAGTAATTTCTCAACAACAACAATGTTTGAAGGGAATGTCAAAGGAACGAAATATGCGGTGTTTTGTTTTAAAGAAATCAAACAAAAGTAGTGGGGCTTCGCCTATAGGAAATGGTACGCCAAATGCCGTCATTTTTTATGAATCGTAAAACAATAGCAAGTGAAATAGCATTAAGTTCGGCCGGGCCGAACTTTGGATACCATCCACCATAGATATACTGACAAGTACTTGAAATAAAAATATAGGGAACATATCAAAAAGGGTACCTATACCGACATTTCTACAAACAGATTATGGTTCTAAATATTGGTCCTATACATCAAGTTTCTTCGAGCCAAATTTGTTTCAAAAAATTTTGATTTCATCCAAACTTTGCCCATCCTATTATTTCTTCCAAATTTAGTTCAACAGGGGCTAGGCCTAAATGAGGTTATATATAGGGTTAAGTATCGAATCAGATGAAATGATTACACAGAGTCTTAGGACCAAACCCAAACACGGAACAAATCTTATAACTATTTTAATATAAAAAGGGGGTTATATGGGGAGGACCCTAAAAAGGGGGCGAATAATAAAAATTTTTGGTACCTATTAAGAACTCAAAATACTAAATTACAGCCAATTCAGTGGAAAAAGTGGTTACACAATTATCTATCAGTAATAGCATCTGCTGTGTTGTTTGCTGTTGATTGCTTCCAGGCTTTGTAGCGGGCTTTTATTTAGCGGTAATTCCTGGGAGGAATTTGGTGCTGCATGCACTCCATGTGCGGCTATATATAGAATGTTCCCCACTTTTAGTATTACCTCCGGCAGTTTGTGTGGTTGTTTTTTTTGGCAGTTGTTGGTCTTGGCTCTGGCTGAGCTTGATTAGGAATATAATTTGTTACAGCATCTGCATTTAAGGGGACCTCCCCCATAGGATGGGTTCTGGCCAATGAAGACAATTGTTTTTGGTAAAGATCGGTTAATATTCAGGGGATGAAATGGACCACAAACTTTATTTTTGTCTGATTTTCAGGTCGCTCTAGAGGCCGCAATTATGGCCCGAACATCGCGAATTTTTACATGGAGAAGGGGATTGGGCCAAAGAATAAGCATACCTGTTTTGATAAAGATCGGTCAATATTTAGCGGGTCAAATGGACCCTGACTTTTGTGTGAAAAATGTCAACATTTGTATTCTATAGCGTATATATTTACTCCTGAAGGACATATAGCCGAGAAATTGATAGTATATCCAAGAGGAGTGCTTGACCTTTAAATTATATTGTCGTATGTACTCGGATGTGGGAGTTACACTTAAATATTTACCACACTATAGGGCGAAAATATACCGCTGATCGCTTTGAAATGTTCCGTGAGGTTCCGGTTGTGGTCAAGGACAACGCCTATATTTTTCGATGATGATCAGATAATAATATTGGAATGAAGTGGACCGAAAACTTAATTTTTTATATTTTTTTCGAGTCGATGTATAGGCCACCATTGAAAGCCGAACATCACAATACAACCCACGGTGAAGGGATTCTGGACAAGTAATTATAAGGGCTGTTCTGAATATTAGAAATATTTGTTGACCTCTAGTCGGTCAAGAGGTTGAAAATATCGCGAAATATTGCCTTAGCTCAGAATAAAGTTAGATTTTCGTGGAAGTTGTGTAGGGTATCATATGGTCGGCCCCGTCCGACTATACTTGTCCGCTCACTGGTTCCATGAAGAAAGATTTGGCTCGTTTGGGAAAGGAACGAGATTTAGCATTCTATTTTTAGTGTTTCACATATTATTTATTTAAAGTAAACATCGATCATATATAGTGTCCCAAAAATAATATTCCATAAAATCCGTTTGAAATGGAGCAAAATAAATTCACTTAGACAGGTTAATTAAAATTGTGTGTACAATTATAAGAACGAGTATTCGGAAATAACAGCCTGTTTTCTATTTCGAATCAAAATCAATGCGAAAGAAAGTAACTCACTCACTTTCGTTTAAAAAAGCGTTCATGTATTTCAAAAGCTATAGTTCGTTTGCCGTTACGTATACCATTCGAAAAACTACTAAATTTAATGTAAAGTTTTACAACAATGTTCAATAAATGAGAGTCAAATAGGAAATGTGAACAGACTACACAAATACA